TATTTATAGTGCTAATCTCTTTAGATTAGCACTATAAAAATTAGCCTTCGAATGAAACATTAAATTTTGTAGACAAAAATTGATGAAAAGTTTTTCGCCGCTGCGGGAATCGAATTCACGTCTTTAGGTTTCGCGCCCAGACGCTTTAACACTAAGGCAAACGGCTGATTGCCATACCAACGAAAATTTCAACCTATTTTATCTACATTGGTATTTCGCTTTTTTAACAATGCTCGGCGCATCTATTGTTATCTCTATTGTTATCTATTTGCAACAAAGAATTTCAAATATCGTTTTACAACGATAATTAGAAACAAGAGTTGTCGCCATTGCTATTTTGAATTTAATCAGCCGTTTAGCTTAGTGGTTAAAGCGTTTAGGCGCAGGCAAATCAGCAGGGCAAATCCCGCAGCGGCGTAAAAATTCGTCCATTTTTTTCTTCATGTTTAAATGTACTTTAACATTAACAAATACATCAATAATGATATGTGATATTTTATGAACGACGTGAATAAAAACTGTATGTATATAATGTAAGCAACGGTTGTGAAAATGACATTTAAATAATTACTGTAATGTGATTCCCCACACTCGTTTCGTGAAAGTCAAGCAACCCCAAATTATATTGTTCCCCTTTCAACGAGGCGTAACCGAATGGTACTACCATTACAAAACTCTCGGGAAATAAATTCACTCTTACCCTAAGCTAAAATATAAATCGCCAAAAGTAAATAAACGGCTGCCATTACTGCCCTGATTATTTGTTCCCCCCCCAAACGCCGCCATCTTTGTTGTATTTTTTAACAAAAGTCCCTATAAGAATTATAACCCCATTTTTAAATAGTGAGGATTATAGAGTTTTAAGTTGCTTCTTATACTGAGGATTTAAAATAAAAAATATTATTAGATTTTACAAAAAAATTATTCGATTTAAGTGTTGAAATAAATACGTAAATCTAAATGTTTATTAAAATATAAGTATACAATCCCAATTCTTGTAACGCTTTAGGACTGGTTAGACTTCAAAGTCAGGTACAGGTAACACCGTAGTTATGGTCAATGTCGAAAATGGAGTTGGTTGAAGTCTTATAGTTTTCTTTTGTTAGGAATATGATTTGTATTTTGTACCGAGAGACCGTACCCAAAGGATCAAATCGGACCCTATTACTGAGACTCCGCTGTATGTATTCTGTCCGTCTGTCACCAGACTGTATCTCATGAACCGTTATAGTTAGTTGAAATTTTGACAGATTATGTATGTCTGTTTGCCGCTATACCAATAAATAAAAAATAGAATAAACATTAAGAGGGATAAATAAACATTAAAGGAGATAGAGTCAGAAATAACGTCAGTTTGTTGACAAAACTGCTTTCCTCATACAAACATTTTAATGAGTAAAAATTCCATTCGCTGCTTCCCAAGTAATTTTCTACGAAAACGGAATGCGGCCTCCCTCGACTGACATTGACCCTTTTGGGAATGGGAGAGAAATGGGAGTCGATGCGCAATTACTTGGGTACAATGTTGCCTTTATAAATTATATAAAGTTGCTTGTTCAAGGTTTATATTTTTGGTTTATGTTACTAATTAAGTTTTACTAAATTTATTTCTTCGATAGCGTGAAAGGGAATAAACAGATTTGAAGCATATTGCTTAAAAATAATGTGTTTATTACAGTTTGTTAGGCAATAGTCTGTAGGTGGTCGAATTTAATGTGAGAAGTTAACTTTAAATTTCCATAAAATTTTGCAATGCTGTGCATTATTTATTTCTATAACGCAAATGATTCTGAGTAAAAAGTTAACTTAATTCATAAATTCACATTGAATTACATCTTGGAAGCTGTACTTAAATGATCGACGAGGCGCATATATGTGTCGTTATAATTTGATGAGGAAGTTTGCTACATCAATGCAGTTAAATAAAATAGGTAGTAACGCTCATTTTATATTAAACTAGCGACCCGCCTCGGCTTCGCACGGTTGCAATGTATTGTACATATAAACCTTCATCGTGAATCGCTCTATCTAGTAAAAAACCGCATCAAGATCCGTTGCGTAGTTTCTAAGCATACATAGGGACAGACAGACGCGGAACGACTTTGTTTTGTACTATGTAGTGAAACAAAAAACTCAATATGGCGATTGACGAACAAATTGTTCAATGGCGACTCGCAAAATCAAATCAATCAAAACACTTTTCAACGGTTTACGGCCTTCTCAACACCTTACTTATGGGTCGGTTTTAACGATTTCATTACATGGTAAATACCACGGGCGTTCTCTACCTACCCCATAAGGATTAAAAACGTGAAAGCTTAACACGTGGAATACTAAATTGCGACTACCCACGGGAGCTTAAAATAAGTCCGTGGCACATCAGCTTATGAATTTGCCCAATTTCGAAGCGATGCCGAGCATTGAAAGGGTATTAAGATGGCTTATGGTAATGCATCGCTTTGATGTAGCAATTTTGTAGTGGAAAAATTAATCCCAACAGATATATGTCAATGGTAACATATGAATGTACAATGTCAATGGTAACATATGAACAGGTAATGTACGTAACATATGAATGAGACATATGATTTTATATCTTTTGCTAAAGAAAAATTATCAATATCGTCCCGTTATGCTTTCTCACTTCCTAGATTTCCTTACTGCCGTATTTCTGGAATGGTATACGCGCTATCGAGAATTGAAATAATTATTGTTAAACAACAAAATTTTATTATTTGAGCTAGACAACGCTTTAAATATTCATCAATACAATCTATATAATTATTAATATTAGACAATTTTTAAAACAATTCACAAACTTGTTTAAACAGATTTTCCAGATTTTGACTCGGCTGATTTTATTTAAATTACAACTTAAATAGACTTCGAGATAAAATCAAAGATAAACCACGGTAAAACCCCTAAAGTACATTGAATAAAACTGAAAATGTTTAAATGAAGTGTATTTTACATCAGGTTCAATCAAAACAGGTAATATTATAATATATTTACTTTATGTAATATTAGTACAGATAAAGCAATTATTTATAAAGTGTATTAAATATGTTATAAATAGCCTACGTTCATAAGTACTAAGTTTATAAAACAGTTTTGAATTTTTTTTAGTCAATAAAATAACTTTAGGAATACCACCGGATATCCGCAATATACCAAATTATTCAAAAAATTACTTGGCTATGGCTAAAACAATAAACGTCACTTTTATTTCGCACCCTCTTCTCAGTTTCAATGTCGTTTGACGCACCTTAATGCGATCGAACTCCCCGTAAAATCGGAGGCATAATGCTAAGATATGTGTAAAATTAAGTGTTAAAAATTGGTGTAGAAATGCTGATTAGATGCAGGTATTTAGTGGCACCGCTACGGAGCGATTGAGCGGTCACATCTCTGCCATAGAGCACAGCCAACGCATCTGATACGCCGCCATATCACAATTCTATGCTTCGTTTCCCGCATTGTGATGGGCGTTGAATTCGTGTCATATGCCTAATCATATCTCACTAATTTCAACTGTGCTCAATCGATAGTTCCGCTCCAACACCTTCTATTTACCGTTAAAATAGATTGTTTGCACCGAGCCGAGTGAGCGACACTTTATTTCGGGAAATCGATTTCGCCGAATCACTTTTTGCCGCTTGCATTGTTTTGGGGCGACCTTGCTCGGACAATGATGGATCTCCGAGCGCTCACTCATTATTGCAAGATCCGACGCGACGTTTAAAGTACGACGGAATGTCCGAGTTGAGGGAGTCTTTGTTGTATAAGAGACTACTAGTATTACACATGGGAATCACCAATCAAACCTTGACGTTTCTGAGACGCTCGCCGCGGACATAATCAGCCTTTCAACATTTTTCGAGCGCCCAGCGTATTGTGAAGTCGTCAATCAAGCGGCGTAGGTTTATTTTTGATACCTGATGTTGCTCGTGCTATGCCTTTTTGATTTGAGGAATATTGAAATTTAATTAAAATTCCTTAGATCTCAGATTGGTGGATACGATAAGGGCTCTCGATCGAATAGTGTTACGAAAATGAAAACCTCCACAGGTAATATCGTAAAAGACTAATAATTCCACAATCATTAAACTTGATTATTAAGACAGCAAACCCACTCTTTTTATGGTTTAAAAAAATTACGTTTTAACTTTAAAACATTATGAATCTCATACAAAGGGTTTTTTTAAGGTGTTTTACATAATGAGCTATTCATAGAAATCTAATTTTAACATTTTTCATCCTTTTTTTTCATTGCACAAATCCTTAATTTTAAAGATTTTCTTGAATATAGTGGTTGATACTGACATAGGCTTTAAATATTCCAACAAACGTAACGGGCGTAAGCATTGTCTATAAATAACAGGGATTAAGCCTCCACGTAGATATGTATTAAATTTAAGAGACGGGATGGTTCCATTCAATGGAGACATTTTGCACTATAGCTTGCAATACATATTTGATGTGCTTTTCATGTAGGTGTGATTTAGAGTCATAGTATTTAAGTGCCCTTTTTTAGTTTCGCGAAAAATAGGTATGTGTAGGTAGTTACCTAAAAATTAAATTTTAACTATTATCTATATATTGGAGTCCAGTATATAGATAATCTAAAAGTTAAAGACAGAATTCATAATTTAATTACATGCGGTATATAGAGTCGATCGATAAGAAGACATTGTTAGTTAAACACAAATTGGCCCAACATTAAATAAGCGCGAAGACTAAAATTTAGCATCATCAATATCACTATACTACAATTGAGAAGTGAACGTAAAAATTAATTATCCGCTATCGGCACGCCATTCTAATCATCATAAATAACGACTTCAATCGGATCAAACGCGGTAGGTCGCGTCACCGTCGAACAATGTGCGAAACATTAAAAGTATCAACAAAAGAACTTTTGACGTTTATAGTATATATAGAGAGACCAGCATAGGCGGGCAATCGTTTAATTACGTGCCACACAACTTCAGTCGTTGCTACGTGGCGATAAGAGATGTGCAAAGCTTGAGCGACTGTTGTTTTATGTTTGTCGAGAGTTGTCGCTCGCTCCAGCTGGTGTACCGTGGAAAATCGATTTTCACGTGGGCCTGACGGATGTCGCATCTGCGCGCGGCCGTATTGCCGCTTGTCTGCATTCGAAAGCGCGGCGACCTGTAATGGGAATCGTTAGTGTTAATAGAGAGAAATATAATTAGACAAATATCCTGTAATAAACAAATATAATTAATTAGTTTCCAATTCAGTATAATCGAGTAACCTGAGTTCTAATCCCGTATCACGTGCTCAGCGGTGACCAAAAACTTCGTGAGGAAACCGGCATTTTCGAAATAATAACAAAAAAGAATTTCTATGAAGTCTGCCGATCCGCAGTTGGGTCGCTTGGTGGACTATACCCTAATACCAAAGAGCATAGTCTTATAGGAAGTCTTTGCCCAGCAGTGGGTTATATATAAGTCTCTTTCCTTTTTTTAATTTTTGGTGTGACAATGTAACGTGCACCACGTCTTGACTGAATTAATATCTTTCAAGTCGTTTTGTTTATTTGTTAGTACCAACAAAATCACATGTCTAATTAGCGACACGTCACATTATTTTGGGACGCAAACCGCTAAGAAAACAAAACGCGCTGCCTTAGAAAAACAAAGGGGACCACACAGAGACACAGACTAGGGGAAATTCACGAAAGCTATCACCGTCACAAATCGCCTTAACGCAAACGTATAATCGGTCGTCAGTCGACCTATTTGTTTTAAGTCGCCCATAACCGGCATTTTGAATAAAAACATCAAAGGGGGGTGCGTAAGAGCAAAACCGAAGGAGTAATTATAATTTGTCACGGCTTACCGGAAATAGTTTGTGTCGCTATTAATCGCGGTCGTATTCTGGGAATACAGCGCCCTCTGTCGGTGGTGGAGGTCTAAGACGCGTGCAGACATTCTGGCAGCGGTTTCGTCACTACACAACTTTAACATTACAATAAGTTAGCGGTTGCGATGTAAATAAATGAAATATGTACTTTTAAATAATTTCTTCCTTCAGAATTAACTTTAGAATTAATTGTTACATTCACGGAGAAACAGAGGTGATAGGACAAAGAGAGGTGTCTTTGCAAATTGACGACCCGAATGGCGTAGTGGTTAGTGTACCTGCGTCCTGCGCCAGAGGGTGTGGGTTCGATCCCCACTACTGGAAAAATATTGTGTGATGAACATCCAGTGTCTGGGTGTTTATATATGTATAACATGTATTTATTTACAAAAGAAAAGTATGTTTAAGTATGTTTAAGTATGTTTATCAGTTTTCTAGTACCCATAGTACAAGCGTTGCTTAGTTTGGGACTAGAAAATGTTGTGTAAAAATGAGTCAATAAGAAAAAAAAATATTGTCAGGTGCGTATTTTCTTGTTAGACTTTGCCTACATAAAAAGACTTTTCGGGCGGATAAAACCAGCCAATTATACCAAGTTTTAATATGACAATATTTTATATAAGCCACTACATACACTGATTATTATTACCTAAATGATAATTGTATTTGAATGATACTAATACGGTACCAAGATAAGCATGCACAATGCAGAACATGACCGTAAATTAAATTTAAATTTCGCGCATAGTTTAATGCATATCTGCTGGTATCTGCTGCTAACTATTTCGCGTATGGGATTAGTTTGCGGTACAGTACAAGTATGTAGTCTTTGGAATACATAATTATAGTTAATTTTCACTGAATAAATAATGCATTTATTTGTTAACATTATTAAATCAAAATAACAAAATTTTAATTAAATAGTCACATTCCAATAGACATATAGTATATGGTATACATTATCCATATTCTTTGTTTCTTAGATCTATAAGCATTTAAACCCAATCGATGTGTCTTTATAATATCTGTTAAAGAAGAATCTAAAAGTTTCGCAGATTTTTTTTACCATTACAAATATCAAATTTTGTGAAATATATCGATACTTAAAATAAAGGTTGTAATCCTCCAAAATTGGTTTGGAGAAATCATTCGTTAGAGCACCGCTATTAATGTTTAATAACACCCATTTAATAACTATATGATCGTCAATAATATCAAAATTAATATAAAACGTTTCATTAAACATTAAACATGGCCTATATCCGTTGGTTTCGATAACCTAAGTAGGCAAAGGTATTGAAATATTACGTACTAAGACTCAATATATAAATTCGACCATCATCACCGTGGGATGGATTTGCGAAGATTTGCGCGTTGTTTGTTATAGTTATTGGGCGTCGTCGGTGCGACGGTGGATGCAAGTTTCGTCCTACATTCACACTCGCTGTCAGGGGCGGCTGCGCAGCCCGGGCGGGTGCTGGAACACCGTGACGCATTGCGATTTCCACGCATACATCCCCGCCGCGACCGGCCTTTGTCACAAAGGAAATTAACTAGTCGCTCTCTTCGTGTGCGTTCGGACGATGTGTGGTCGTGTGCGTGCAGCGACAGCAGAACAGATCTCACCCGTTTGCGGATCGGAGCGAAATAGCAGACGATTAAGCTGGAATGCTAGATAATTATGAGTAAATGTAGCTGGAGACTGTCGGATGTTGTTAATTATGTTGTAAGACGTTTTCTTAATTGCTTGTCGTGAGGTATATCAGCATTGTTTTATATTTTGAAATTCTTTGTATATTGATTTGTTGTGTTTTATGTCTTTCTACATTCCATTGTATGTGTGTTAAAAAAGTAAAAGAAAATAATTCCATGATGAATAACCTGTTGTCCTGACCGTACCAAACGCATAATCAACCGTCAGTATGCCAATGAAGGAAGAACTATTGTTGTAATGTTGAATGAAAAGTTCTATTTAAGTAGTCGCTGGGTACTTTTTTATATTTTAAAGTAATTTTCAGCAGATGTTCAACGATCAGGTCCACCTCAAAATGGCTATTATTTTTAGACCCATGAAATTACTTTCTCGAACATTGTTAGCGGTGCCTGACGTAATTAATATCCGAACTTAAATTACGAATTTAATGAAGAAACAAGAGCCACTAGAGAGTTAACAGTTTGTGTAACTCAATAAAATTGTCCAAGTTTTTGCTTGTTGAAGAAAAGTTTTTGAAATATAAACCTAAAGTTCATTTCGCGTTTCTTATTTACTCGTTTATGCAATAACGAACGATGGCTCCGTAAAATTTGAAGTAGATTATAAAATGTATAATTTGTAACTTAAGCTTGTATGCGATGAACATTTTCAAATTTCGTTAGTAGAGTAATCGACAATTTCCTGAGACTACACAATTTTCCAAGACTAACAACAAGAACTATTCTAAGTTAATTGAAAAACATTGCTTTCAAGGCCGTTACGTTGTTCTCGTTTATAGCGAAAAAGTGGAGAAAATCCGCGCTTAGCTGAAATCAAGTATTCTAATATATACAGCTTAACGATTCCTTGTTGCTAAGTCAATATTACATAGTTCCTCGTGGTTGTTTTGCTGTAGTCCGTGGGAACATTGGCAGTTAGCGTTAATCGCCGCAGAATTATGAGTGGATTTTTTGCAAATGATGGATTCGGTTGATGGAGCAATCGGTTCTGCGCTTCAGGAGCACCGGTATCGTTTCAGTGACAAGAGGAACCACAATAATTAATTCGCAATTTCACGAACTACGGTTAACCAGATCAATTCCCGCTGTGTGAGATTACGCCTGGGAAACTAAGAAATGGTTACCTACAGCGAAATTGTATTTGAGTAATTTAGGTTAGAAAAAGAATGTAACACAAACATTATATTATAAATTTGTACATTGTTTTTAAATGGATTATATATACGGCTAGTTAAAAAATATATATATCTGTGTACTTATACGAAAATAAGAAGTTATACTTCTTTAGCGTAACAAAAGAAAAATAATTACAAAATTGGTATCCCCTGTACCAGTACTCTTTGTTTGTGAAAAAAAAGTATCTTGCGATTATAGGCAAATTTCAAAAAGTTATTATCGGTTGCCATGTTAATACCGTGAAGTTGGTGCCTTTGGAATCAACTTCATCATGTCGGTGTCAGCGTGCGCGCGCATCGTAAAAAAATTACTTTCATAATATTTTCTAAACGCCCCAAAAGAAGTATAACTTCAAGAACAAATGAATATAGTTGATTATGGCTAATTGGTTTGAACCTTAAAAACAATTATTGAGATTTATCTTTTATATGTAAGAAAATCGTCTTTTATATGTATAATTAAATATTTAGTTCAGAAGAATTAGGAATAATTAGTTCAGAAGAGCGAACTTAAATATTTTACCCGCTTTCAAAATGTTACTATTTGTTTATGAATCAACATTAAACAGCAACACAAAAATTGTTTTAAAATTTACAAAGATTTTGTTCAAAAAATGAACTCCAATAATTTTATCGCTCGCCAGAAATCGAATCGGTTTACCCATTCGTTACGCTGGTGTTCTGGAAACATCGCAGCGCCTTTCGTGGCCAGCCCAAAATGCAGAATTCAGAATAGGTGAAGCAAATTTCAAAGCAGTGCCTCAACTCGTAATGGAGGACTGTTCTTGTGAAGGAAACTCCGACAGTTGGTAACAATACGACTATAAAACTTATCGCTTATACTCCGCAGAGCTTGTTTGTGTCGAATTTGTGCAGAAAGAAAGCAAGGATATTGAAGGGCTAGTAAAAAAATCCAGTTTCGATCTTATGTAATTTCGTTCCTCTCCTGTATAATAACAAACAGTATTTAAGAAGAATATTGGGTGTAGCTGACAGATTTCGGCTCTGAAATAAATGACGTCAACATATTAACCTGCATGTTTTGCCTATCCAATATATATTACAATAGTATTAGCAAATATTTGGAATAAGTAAGTATAAATACAGAGTAACATCAACCACAGACTAATATTAACCAGCTTGTTCTATCCGGTTTCGCAAAGGTAAGCCATGCGACGATCCTAAACTGAGATTCTAACTTTAAATAAATTTATTAGAATGTAGCCTGTGCTTGTTACAGATAAGGTGGCTTGATTATCCAAATCTTAAGATTCTTTTTAATAGTTTTCAGGTTACATATTTCTACAAACAAAGGAATTATTATTTTAAAGTAACTAATAGTCACTCATTGGTGGAAATTAAAAAAATAAATATAATATTTTAAAAATTCATTGACGACAAACTACTCCGCGCAACTGTTTGACAACGGACTTTGTGTTCGACATTGATATTATGACCGTATACAATGAAGTTTAGCTTTCTGCGCTTTTTCTTCATGTAAACTTTAATAATGTCGAATATTATTTTCAGTGCGAGAAATGCGCGACCCCAAAGTGGGATGGCAGACTTATCAGATCTTGGAATCATTTTGATTACTATTTTGGAAATATGCAGGTTTCCCCACGATATTTTACTTAGAAGAGGACGTAATATAACCAATATTAATTTAAAAATTAAATTATGAGTAAAGTATAAACCAAAACAAAGTCAAACTGATATGTATGAAATATTAATTTTTTATTCCCGTTATTACATCTAACAGAATTACTAATGTCTTAATTTCTACTTTTTAGGGTCACACGATAGTCCTATTAAATGTTCTAGACCTTTCGCTAAAGCGCCGCGTAATGGTACGAGAATAGGCTTCGTGACAGAGTTAAAGTGAATATAATGATGTAATTGTAGGTATTAAGCTGCACTAGTACGACAGTCTACGTGATATCGTATGGGTCGATGTGGATCTTCATCGGCGCGCCTGAGAAATAGCGCTATTACATTTTCAATCTTGCCTACAATAACATAATTTCAATTTTTTTTGCTGTAGGTTCTTTCATAGAAATACTTTATCAAGCCCTTAGACAATACTTAAAAAAATATAGTGCTGATCTCTGCACTTTTTTCTTTATAATTGTTTCGTCCTTTTCCCTACAAATTTTTATTCTTAGGTCATTATTCTATTT